GGCCCTGCACGATCTGTGTCTCTGAGGCGTCTGGATGGCCGCGAGTGACAGATCTCTATGTGTGTGTGTGCAGCCTATGTGTGTACATCACGTGAGTGAAACGAACCCCTTTATAAAACGTCTGTTTACCGGCGGGTTAAATACGGCACGTGAGAGAAACGGGTCTTATGAAGCGGTTCTGATTAATTGAATTAATCAGGATGATCAAAGTCATCGCTCAGGTGTTTAGAGGGAAGGAGGGGACCGTCATAGCAGCACGAGTATTCTGTTTTATTAGAACATCATGAGGTTAAAGGAGTACAACAAAGATTATATATAATAAATGATTAAACATTTATTTAATCATTATTGTATAAACAGGAATGTTGAGGAAAATGTCTGCGTTAATTATTCTGGTCCAAATATTGGATTTTTGGGTCAAGCTGGATTTGAACCTGCTCAAACGTGAAGCGCCTCCGGTTCGTGGATTTGTCCTCTACGGCTACACGCGGCTGGCCTCCGCGTGGAAGGTAGCTATGCTAACCACTATACCACCAACGCATGTGACATCTATGTTACAATTAAATGATTTAATAGACTCTGAGATGAAGGTGGAGACGTGACGATGTGTCTGTTTGACTTGTTTCAGCACATTTTACATTTTACACTCCGACTTCATCTTCAAGTTTAAATCTACGGTGGCTGGGAGGGGTCAGGAGAATGCATTTACAAAACCGCTTTGCAAACTCCACAACATGAATGTAAAGTAACAAGTAACATTAAATAATCACAACAGGTCCAGAATAAAGCTGCTCTCTCTCTCCTGTGGTTTCACATCAAATGTCTGTTGGTTAGAAGTCAAACACAGATTATTGTATTCACTGATGGTTTTCTTACTGAACGTAATAACAAATAAAACTCTTTTAACTTGTCAGATTATCTTTCAGTACTGATACACACCATCATCCAACGAGCTGTGGGAGGTCGTTCATCATCATCTCAACGCTCAGTAACGTACAGAGACAATTCACCAACAAGTCAAAACCCTGTATACAGTTTAAAAAAACATTTTGTACAGAGAAGCTTTAGTCAGTACTGAAGGGACGATGAGCCTTTCTGTGTCACCGTGTTTATCTGTTAGACGCTGTAAACGTTTTGTCTGTTTCTTTTGTTCATTTCTGTAAAACGTCTTTATTATTCTTTAGTTGTTGTAGATATGATGTTGTTAACGGGGGAAGCTAACAGGGATACAAACAAACAAACAAACAAACACATTGTTTCCTGGGAGCTCCTGAGCTCTCGGTCTTGGAGGTTCCTCTGGATTGTTACAGCTCACACGTTGAGTACCAATCTGTTTAATTTGAGCCCTGCTTATTCTGAAATGAGGATTACATCAAGACCAGCAGAGAATAAATATTTAACTTTAATCAAACGGTCAAAAAGATGAAGATTACAGATACTGATCATGTTTGTCTACAGTTTAACTTTTCATACTTTTTTTAATTCATTACACTGTGGAGGAAAATATCACAGAGCAACTTCAGAGTGGATAAGTTTTATTGGCGTTTACAGTTTAATAGAAGAACAGAGTGACAACAAGGAGGAGGAAGTGTGGAGTTCAACAGGTGGACATCTTTATTCACCTGGTTCACCTTTATTCACCTCACAGACACACCAACTGTAGAAGGAAGATTTGAACCTCTCTGCCCTCATGAAGTTCAGATTGAAGGAGTAGAACTGAATCATCATCATCAGTGTTTTATTAAATGTTTAATCACACTCTTATCTCTAATGAAGGCTGTGACGTTTGAAACCCTGTTGCCATGGTGATAAACATCCTGTTCTATTTCCTGTTTATACTTATACTTTCACTTTCTCCAGTGGTGACGCAGTTCTGTTCTCCGTGTTGAAGGCAGAGTCCTGTAAAATATTATAATCCTCTGGTTGAAGGTAAGAGACTCTTTTCACTGTTGTTCAGACTCTCTGTTTAATTTAAGTCTCAAAAGACTGTAAGCTAACAGTTAGCCACCAGGTTCGTTAGCTGCTCTTATTACAGTAGAAGTAAAGGGAACATGATGACTCTCAGTTTAGCACGCAGGCTATGCTAACATGCTAACGTGCTAACATGCTAACCGGACAGTTTAAACTCTTTTCACACATACAGAAATCTCTTGAACTCCGGTCTCTCGGGAGGTCGACTCTGACAGATGAAGGGGGGAGGGGGACTCTCTCGGGCTCGCTCCACCTGTCACTCACTGCACGCCATGACAGCACGAGGAGAGGAGAAATGTCAGAGCATTCAGATCCTTACAGATAAAAAAAACAGGAGAGAGGGTGAGAAGTTAAACCCTGAAGAGACATGAGAATGTTTATTCATGACATCATACGTTTCTTCAAACCATGCTCAGAGCTCTGTTGAAGAGGTAAACAGACTCTTCTATCTGATCATTTGTGATTGTATGAAAACTTTTTATAATAGCTTTTAAAGCCACGGTAACTAAAAGCTTTTAACTTTTTGTTGAACCGTCATCATTAAATGTTGAATGACAGCTGGTGGGCTTCCAATATAAAATAACATGTATCTGAATGTAAATAAGGTGAGCACAGTGCATGAAGTAGAATCCAAACAGAGAATGATGATCAGAAAGTTCTCCCTCAGAGAGCCTCTCCATGTGTTCACACTATAGAACATCATACCTTAGATTTATAGTGCTTTCACACGAGCAGAAATGTTTTGCTCGAACTTCACCCAGAGTTTCTCCTCTCAGACCCCGAGTCATTTTTTCAGCAGCAATTCAGAGTGAGCTGAGAACGCAGCAGGATATTCTCTGGAGAATTCTGCTTGAGCCAATGGGAGGGGGAGTTATGTTTCTGTACTGTGACTGTAAGAAAAACTGATACTCCCAGAAAAGTGAGTCCAGCTTCTCTCCTAAAGTAAACTCTCAGTGCAGCACTGCACCACAGAAACTGGATCTCAATATGTGAGTGTCGAGGAGTCAATAAATAAGTGCAGCTCTTCCAGCAGGAGGGACCCCCTCCTCTGTGTCCTCACACTGACCCAACATGACTGTTGCTGCTTCCTCTGGTGTACACCTGTGACCATGCGGAAGACCCGATCGCAAAACTCAGCTTCAAAGCCCAAAGTTGCATCATAGATCCAATGGGATTATTATCCATCAAACCACGGATTAACTTCTATGGTCATGGCTACATGGCTATCGCCTCCCTTTTCCACCACGGTGGCCGACATGCAGCAGCGAGTTCGGGGCGAGCCACACAGCCACCAGACGCGGGCTGGAGAGCTGCTCGGATTTTGTTTACTCTTCTTCTACTTGCCGGCGATGTGCACTTAAATCCAGGCCCAACTCTACAGCTGACTAGCACTTTGGGTAATACATCTGCCTTTCCAGTGGAGCCTTTCTCACCCCACAAACACATAACGTGGACAAATGCTGTGATCATTTTACAACAGCTATCACTGGATTAATTGACAAACACACTAAAACATGGAAGAGCAGACCAAGAAGAAACTCGCTCCCATGGTTTAGTCAAGACCTTTGGCAATTAATGAAAAGACGTGACTTTGCTCTTACAAAATGTCTTATCTCTAAAACTAACACTGATCATTTAATTTATACTGGCTTAAGAAACAAAGTTGTAGCTGAACTACGCAGGGTTAAGATGAATTATTTTTCAAAGCTTATTGAAGAGTCCAAAGGCAATAGCTCTGCACTGTGGAAGCACATTAACACTTTAACCAACTCCAATGCCTCAAAACATCATAGAATTAAGGGTTTAATGATAAACAACACATTTATTTCAGACAACGCATCGGTTGCAAGTGAGTTTAATGCTTTCTTTATAGAATCAGTTCAGGAACTATCCAAAAACTTCAAACCTGTCGAGTTAAGACCAGACACACTCAGTCAGAAAACTCAAAATGGATTTTACATCAAAGAAGTAACTTTGGAAAAAGTCAGTAAGATCATGAGTAACCTGAACAACTCAAAGACTAGGGATATTCATGATTTGGACGGTGAACTGATCAAATATCATAGAACTCAATTACTTAAGCCAATAACACATCTGGTGAATATGTCAATTCAAACAAAAACTTTCCCTGAGAGCTGGAAAAAAGCCATTATCAGTCCAATTTACAAAAGTGGTGAGCCAGACTTGACATGTAATTATAGACCCATTGCCATTCTCCCAGTTGTGTCCAAGATATTAGAAAAAGTTGTTGCAGAGCAACTCATACTACATCTTGAGACAAACCACTTGCTGCATCAAAACAATTCGGTTTAGACCCAAACATTCTACTGAGACTGCAAAATGTTATCTTATTGAGAAAATAAAATGCTTTCTGGATAAGGGACATGTTGTGGGAGGAGTTTTCCTAGACTTGAAAAAAGGCCTTCGACACTGTTAACCACAATGTGTTGCTATCCAAACTTTCTAAATTTCAATTCTCTGATCAGGCTTTGCAGTGGTTTGACTCATACCTAAGTGGAAGAGTGCAATGTGTCAGAGTCAGTGGGCAAAAGTCCATCTTCCGTAACAACAGCATGGGGATACCCCAGGGGTCAGTTCTAGGTCCACTGCTATTCAGCATGTACATCAATGACCTACCTGAGATCTGTCCTGCAGTTGGCTGCCAAATGTATGCCGACGATACGGTTATATACACACCTGCAAGATCTGCTAGGCAATCTGCTGCCCACCTCAATGACTCCTTGCACTGTATTGCAAAATGGCTTGAGTCTTCTAACTTAACATTAAATATTAAGAAAACAGTTTCCATATGCTTTTCTATGCTCAAACAAAGGATAAAGAAACATTCTTAGTTAAAATAAATAATGAGACCATCAATGTGGTTGAAGATGTCAAGTACTTAGGGATTGTTCTAGACTCACCTACGATTCGAAAAACACCTGTAAAAAAGCGAGATCTAATCTAAACTGCTTCAGAATCATTAGAAATACCTCTCATTTAGTACAGCTCAGCTATATATACATGCTATGATATTATCACATCTATCATATTGCATCAGTTCTTGGTCTCAAGCCTCACAAACAACTTTAAAGCCAATCATATCCCTATATAACCAATCATTAAAATCATGGACAAAAAAACGATAAGATGGCACCATTGTCGTGTATTAGAGGTACACAATATGTTTAGTTTTGAAAGCTTCATTAGTATTTTATCCCTGTTGCATTCATAACTGCACTGTATTTATAACTGAACTGTTTTCTTTTTCTTACCCTTTTTATCTTTATCTCTGTTCTTTCTAAAAGCCTCCCGTGGACAGGTGTTGCAAATTAGCATTTTGCTATAAACTTGTGCATGGTTAAATGTTACAGCACCAATGTTACTGTATGTCCATGTTAAATAAACAAACAAATAAATAAAATAAAATAAGTTCTGTGTTAAAAAAAATGTTAAAAAAGCCTTCTTGTACTTAGTAAAAATATATTTCTTACTCCACTGAATTTATAGAAAATCTTTAGTTTGTTTGCTAGTTACTTCTCAGATTCAGATTTAGAATGCAAAATAGGATGAATACACTATTTGTCTAAATATCTTTATTATATGCCCTGTGAATTCACAAGGTATCCAGCTACAGGTATGTAAATAGGATTAGATCCAACTGTAGCAATGACAACAAAATGAGGAACACATTAATGCATTAAAAATATATATAATTAATATTCTGCAAAAGGTACATTTTTGCAAAGTAACTATTATTCATTTGTTACTCCAGACTAAAGTCTGATACGTTTGTACTCTAACTTCTGTAACTTGTTTGAGGGTATTTCTGTGTTGTTACTACTTTAGACTGCTTAAGGTTAAGAACAGAGTCGGCTTCTTATTTAGTGTCAAAACAAGTTCCTCATTTATCATGAAATAATCTCAAAATGCTCCAAAAGCCTCATTTGAATGTTAGAATAGATTTTTTCTCTGGGGGAGAAACCCCCCAGACCCCCCTAACTTCATTTACTTTTCAGACTTTAACTTATTCAAAGTTTTATATAGATCACCTGCTGCACCTGTTAATTTATATAGGCATAAAATTCACTTGACTGTAGGTCAAATTTGTTAAAAAAGAAGCAAGCTCACATCTGTCAGCCTAGATCTTGAGCTTCAAAAAAGAAAAATGTGTCAATTTTATTTCTTAGATAGAAAAGACCTTCAAATTGTTTTTTTGTACTTGTTTTATACTTTGAGAATTTTTGGACATTTTTTTTTTCTGCTTTAATCCCGGGCAGTGACATCACAGTGTTCACCAGTCAAAGAGTTCAGTGATCAGACTCATCATGATAAACCATATCACTGAGTTTGTGTTTCTTTAAATAGAAATCCAGTTTACAGAGTAGCAGCTGATTTCAAAGATGGAGCTTGATGAGCAGAGGTCATATTTTTTCTAATTATCCCTCAGATCATTACAACAGAAAATAAAAGAATAGATCTTTAATGTCATTGCTATAAAAACAGTGAGAGGCAGTTTAGCAGCTCTTTGTCAGAGGCAGCACAGACAAAGAGCTCTGTTCTGCTTTTCTACAACTCTTTCATCCTCAGACATTTACATCACTCTCACTTCCTGTCTTCAGTCCATGTTCACCTCTCCCAGTACTTTCCTCCTGTTTCTCCTACTTCTCCACCAGAGGCCCTCAGAATACACCTCCTTCTCTTCTTTAAACAGCCCAGACCTTCCCCTCTATCCTACTCACCTGCAGCACAAAGAGAGAGAGAGACGTGACAAAGACAACAGCACCAACCCTCAGCAGGGTGGTAGAACAATTTACACTGACACACATTTCAATAAGAAAGCTCATAATATAAGAGCCACAGTCATAACATGCTTCATTAACTACACTGAGTCCAGTATTCAGGACAAGAACACTTTTATAATCATCAGAGACAGAGGAAGGATTCCTGCTCTCTATGAACAAACTTTAACTTGTGTCCTTTTTGAACTTTCTTGAATCCAGAAGTTCTCTAAGTGGTCTTATCCTCAAAATAAAGAAAACAATCTTGTTCCTCTGCTGAGATATGATAAACCATTGTTGTAGCTCCTTTCAGGTTCAATCTAGCTCGATGTTAACCAGAATATCTAATTAAGTCAAAGTTAGATATACTGTATTTTATTAATATAAGCTTTTCTAATACTAAACATACTTAATAAGATGATATTCTTTTAAGTTATAGAATATGACTTGTAAAGTTATTTTCATGTGGGGACACAGAAGAAGTCCTTTAACCAAACACCAATCCTGCCTCGTTCCACGTCGACAGCCTGGTCAACATCTGTTTTCAGTCCACAGTCTGTCCCTCACCTGCTCCTGTTTCCCAATAAACAGTCTGGCCTCGGCTTGTTCATGGTTCTCTTTCAGAGGTCCAGCCAGTCTCCTGTTCCTACAGATCACTCTCTCAGGTTGTCCTTCTGCCCCCCTGGTGGTCACTGGTAGTATCTTCATGAACATCTGTCTGTAGCTAGCCTGAGTTCTTTCTCTCTGAAAATGCAGGTTGGACTTCTAACCTTTATTGTTCCTGGTGTCATCTTTCTGAGCTGTGTTTATGTTTGAGTCTTCTTCTGTTAACTTTGATTCCATCAGTCTAAAGAATCTGAGGACAGACACAGTGTTGTCTGTATTCTGAGTGAGATACTGTTCTAATAGAAACAGAGAGAGCTGTGGAGAACTTCAGCTCTGCCTCCTGATCACTGATTATCCATCTGCTAGTTTGAACTGGAACAATCTGATTAAAAATGATCTTTGTTCTAAAAGCTTTCATTAACCAGCTGTTTGTTTGTATCAGGATGAAGAGACAGAGACCAGACTCTCCTGGACCCAGCTGTGTGTCCATGAAGAGTGATTGGTGTATAATGTGTATCTTGGTTCAGAGCTTCATAATATATGACACATTGTTTTCTTGTGTCACAGAGTTCAACAGGAGAGCTCCGAGGTTCACAGAGATCAATCAGACCAGCAGAATCCAACAGACCTGGACTCCATCTTTATGGTCTGTTCAACACACTGTTATATAATTTACTACCATTACAATAATTTAATGCTAAGTTATTGTTCTGTTTAGACCAGCTGACCTTCAGACTGACAGATGAATCACATGTTGAGTTCTACCAGTTTATATTAAATATCCAGTGTCTCCTTCTGTTCCAGCTGCTGGAGGAGAACATCGTCACCTTTGTGAAGAACGAGCTGAAGAGAGTCCAGAGAGTTCTGAGTCCAGATTACCCAGAATGCTTAGAGAGTCAGAGTGAGGATGAAGAGCAGGGGAGAAGCTGTAGAGAAGATTTTTTGAAGATCACTCTCCACTTCCTGAGGAGAATGAAGCAGGAGGAGCTGGCTGACTGTCTGCAGAGCAGTAAGAACATTTTAACAGATTTAGCATTTTAAAAAAGGACAAAACGGTTTAAAGTTCCAAACTCAGATAGTCATGTGATCTATATCAGGATCTGTTCAGTGATTTCAGTTTTTCTTTATTCAGGAACGTTTGGTGCAGTGCAATGTAAACTGAAATCTAACCTGAAGGAGAAGTTCCAGTGTGTGTTTGAGGGGATTGCTAAAGCAGGAAACCCAACCCTTCTGAACCAGATCTACACAGAGCTCTACATCACAGAGGGAGGGACTGGAGAGGTCAATGATGAACACGAGGTCAGACAGATTGAAACAGCATCCAGGAAACCAGACAGACCAGAAACAACCATCAGACAAGAAGACATCTTTAAAGCCTCACCTGGAAGAGATGAACCAATCAGAACAGTGATGACAAAGGGAGTGGCTGGCATCGGGAAAACAGTCTTAACACAGAAGTTCACTCTGGACTGGGCTGAAGACAAAGCCAACCAGGACATACAGTTCACATTTCCATTCACTTTCAGAGAGCTGAATGTGCTGAAAGAGAAAAAGTTCAGCTTGGTGGAACTTGTTCATCACTTCTTTCCTGAAACCAAAGAAGCAGGAATCTGCAGGTTTGAAGAGTTCCAGGTTGTGTTCATCTTTGACGGTCTGGATGAGTGTCGACTTCCTCTGGACTTTAAAAACAACCAGACCCTGACTGATGATACAGAGTCCACCTCAGTGGATGTGCTGCTGACAAACCTCATCAGGGGAAACTGCTTCCCTCTGCTCACCTCTGGATAACCACACGACCTGCAGCAGCCAATCAGATCCCTCCTGAGTGTGTTGACAGGTGACAGAGGTCAGAGGGTTCACTGACCCACAGAAGGAAGAGTACTTCAGGAAGAGGTTCAGAGATAAGGAGCAGGCCAACAGAATCATCTCCCACATCAAGACATCCAGAAGCCTCCACATCATGTGCCACATCCCAGTCTTCTGCTGGATCACTGCTACAGTTCTGGAGGATGTGCTGAAGACCAGAGAGGGAGGAGAGCTGCCCAAGACCCTGACTGAGATGTACATCCACTTCCTGGTGGTTCAGACCAAACTGAAGAACATCAAGTATGATGGAGGAGCTGAGACAGATCCACACTGGAGTCCAGAGAGCAGGAAGATGATTGAGTCTCTGGGAAAACTGGCTTTTGAGCAGCTGCAGAAAGGAAACCTGATCTTCTATGACTCAGACCTGACAGAGTGTGGCATCGATATCAGAGCAGCCTCAGTGTGCTCAGGAGTGTTCACACAGATCTTCATCGAGGAGAGAGGACTGTACCAGGACAAGGTGTTCTGCTTCATCCATCTGAGTGTTCAGGAGTTTCTGGCTGCTCTTCATGTCCATCTGACCTTCATCAACTCTGGAGTCAATCTGATGTCAGAAGAACAAACAACATCCAGGTCTGAAGTATCAAGAGAAAAACCTGACCCAACACTTTTATATCAGAGTGCTGTGGACCAGGCCTTAAAGAGTCCAAATGGACACCTGGACTTGTTCCTCCGCTTCCTCCTCGGTCTTTCTCTAGAGACCAATCAGAATCACCTACGAGGTTTGTTGACACCCACAGGAAGTGGCTCACAGACCAATCAGAAAACAGTCCATTACATCAAGAAGAAGATCAGTGAGGATCTGTCTGCAGAGAAAAGCATCAATCTGTTCCACTGTCTGAATGAACTGAATGATCGTTCTCTAGTGGAGGAGATCCAACAGTCCCTGAGATCAGGACGTCTCTCCACAGATAAACTGTCTCCTGCTCAGTGGTCAGCTCTGGTCTTCATCTTACTGTCATCAGAAAAAGATCTGGACGTGTTTGACCTGAAGAAATACTCTGCTTCAGAGGAGGCTCTTCTGAGGCTGCTGCCTGTGATCAAAGCTTCAAACAAAGCTCTGTATGTGTCCACATAACTATCCAGGTTTAATGTAGTTCTCTTTATTCAGAAATAATAACTATTGTTTTTAATTGCTTTCATTTGTGTTCTTCTGAATCCTCTTCAGGTGAGTGTCTGTAACCTCTCAGAGAGAAGCTGTGAAGCTCTGTCCTCAGTCCTCAGCTCCCAGTCCTCTAGTCTGAGAGAGCTGGACCTGAGCAACAACAACCTGCAGGATTCAGGAGTGAAGCTGCTGTCCTCTGGATTAAAGAGTCCTCTCTGTAGACTGGACACTCTCAGGTTAGTGTTCAGCTGATCCAGATTATTCCTCTAAGATTGTTTTCTTGATGAATCATTTCTTAAATGTTCCTTTAATGAGTGGTTTAAAGTTTTAGTTACTGTATGTTACCACATTAAAACTGTAAAGCTCTGAGCTCGTTCTGTAGCTCCCAGTCTTTTAGTCTGAGGAAGCTGGACTGGAATAAAGAAAGTTAAATATGAAGATCTGTTAAGTCCTTTTTATGATCGTGTGTGTGTGCGCGTGCGTGTAGTCTGTCAGGTTGTCTGATCACAGAAGAAGGTTGTGCGTCTCTGGCCTCAGCTCTAAGCTCCTCCCACCTGAGAGAGCTGGACCTGAGCTACAATCATCCAGGAGAACGAGGAGAGAAGCTGCTGTCTGCTGGACTGGAGGATCCACACTGCAGACTGGAGACACTGAGGTACAGACAGACTAGAGGTCGCGTTAACCGAATATTCTCCGTCTTTGACAGAATTTTTTGAACAATGACGAAAAATAATCTGAAGGTTTTGACTGATTAGAATCACTGGGTGTCCACCACTCCTTTCTAATTCCCACACAACTCTGTCATTAACCACATGTAAAGCACCTGCAGTAGACCTCCCAGTCCAGTTGGTGGCGAGTGTGCATAATTAATTAGTTATTGTCTTGTCCTGTAGGCTGACCTCACTTGCATGACTTCGTTGTCTATGGTTGTTTTCATAGCATGGTTAAGCTATCTGCATGATGATCACAAACTGTTGAAACTGCACAAAACGAATCCAGGCACGAAAGCTAACTCCATGTTTCTTCCTATTAGGTTAACATTATTTAAACAATATTTAACCATCTGACTGGTCAAATTAAATGTTAAACAATGGAAGAAACACAATAAACACGACCCGAAACTCCCGCTCTCACCCACTACCACCTGCTGCACATTGGATCAAAGTAGAGTCAGAGAACGCGAGTCCCCCATGCTACGTCATATGACGCCATGTTGAAAAAAAGAGCGTTCTAAACAGCTATACTGAAAACGGACACTTTCCCCTCTAATTTTTGCCCTTTAGTGTTGTATAACACATCAAATCAAACATTGACGTATTCTACAGCCTTTATCAGACAATGTTAAGTGTTCATTTATTAAAAATGTAACCTGCAATATGCTCTTTAAATTTAGACAAAATGTCTTATGTTAAAGTTTTGTTTGAATGTATTATGTAACGTAGTTTTAAAAAACAGTATTCCACAACGTGTAACTGTGACCGGAAAACAAATGTTGCTCCGTAGCTTTATTGACGATAAAAGTGACTTCACAGGGTCGGTGTTGATTTTTCTCTTCATGCTCTTATAAAATTATTATCTGTAAGATTGTTCTGCAAATTAAACGTAACATGTGATCGACTTGTTTCTATAATCATATGCTAAAATAAATAAATAGGCAATGTCTCATTATCATAAAAATATATGAAATGAAAATGACAGATCGTTATAGATTATGACGGAAAATGTATGACAAGAAAGTCTAGCGCAACCTCTGAGACAGACAGACACACAGAAGCTGTCTCACTGTTTCTGAATGATGAACTAATGGTGGATTTAAATCTAGATGTATGAAGTAGATTCTGATCTGGTTTCTTCCTCCAGGTTGGACCATGGTGGACTGCACACACTGGATCCTGGTCTGAGGAAGTGTGAGTGTGTTTTCATTTCTCTTCATCAGAACACAGCAGCACATGTTGGATGAGGGCTGGAAGTAACACAAAGTGATGATAAAAGTGAGGGTGATGGAAACTCATGAGAGTTGAAATAGTAAACAATAAAAATATAAACTGAAATAAAAGTGATAATCCAGAATGTGCTGAATGTGACCTCTGAGGACAGAACAGTTGGAGACAGCAGATGGTTCACAGCTTCTTTGTGCTGCACTTTGATTAGTCAGACTTTATTCACTGCATGTGTTTGTTGATTTGGATCTCCATTCATCCTGACTGCCATGGTAACTACATTTGAAC